ATTCATAGTTCCCTCTTTCATTTCCAACAAAACATTTCCATGTCATGTCACACATATTAGCTATGATAAGGCATGAGACAGCACTTTATAGACCAAAAGTACAAAAGAGGAATTAAAAATATTTTTGTTTTAAAGCTAGCTTATATGTGATTATCACAAACGACATTTCATGGGAAATAAAGATTTTGCAGTTGTGAATATACTGTAGGAGCAGCTAACATAATGTATAAGTGTAGCTGAATGATGTAAGGATAGTAAATAATAATAATAAACTTAATAAGGATAATAGTGCATAGTGACAGTAGTGAAACATTTTACTTTTTTATTTTCCAGAAATCATCCATCCATTCATTATTTCTCCCACTTAGTATTTGTCAGGGGGCCAATGCCTAACGCAACAGCAGTCTATTGAGGCGGGGTACACCTGGACTGGTTACTAGTCTGTCGCAGAGCAGCACAAAAACACACAAAGACACACAACCATACACACACGCTCACACCTAAGGACAATTTAGTGAAGCCAATTAACCTAACTGTCATGTTTTTGGACATGGGGAGGAAGATGGCGTACTCAGAAAAACCCACGCATGCACGCATGAGAAAGATGAATCAAACCAAGATCCTTCTTGCAGCATGGCACCAGCACTACCCACTGTAAAACCATGCAGCCTTTTCCCAGAAACCATCCATCAATAATTTTTATCTGTAGTGATAACAATAAACTATAAATCCTAGTCTTTCCGCTGTAACTGGTGCACTATTCAGGTTGTATTTTGAAAACTAATGTATGTAAATAATTTGACAAAAAGAAAAGAGAATGGAATTTTCTTTCTGTACAATTTACTTTTGTGTGCAGACAACACCATGTTTGTGAGCCTCATCAGAGACGACAACGACCAGGACAACAAAGAGGAGCTAAGCAGCTGTTGGACTGTTGCAGAGACAACAACCTGATCCTGAATGAGAAGAAGACGAAGGAGATCATCGTAGACTTAAGGAAGAACCGGCCTAACCATGCTCCACTACTCATCAACAGCTCAGCAGTAGAGGTGGTCAGCATTACCAAATTACTTGTGGTGCACATCACGGACACCCTCATCTGGACTGTAAAAACCATCTCACTGATCAAAAGGGCACAAAAGCACATGTACTTCCTGTGGAGGATGGAGAGAGCCCAACTACCCCTACCCATCCTCAAGACCTTCTACAGAAGGTAGAGAGCGTTCTTACCAGCCTTCTTACTCTGTGGTGTGGATGCTGTAACGTCTCAGACTGGAAAAAAGTGGGAAGAGTGGTGAGAACTACTGCAGAGAATATCATTAGGGCTCATTTTCCCTCCCTAAAAGATATTTTATTCCAGCACTGCATGTCACTAGTCCGTAACATCATCAATGACCCCTCTCACCCCCACCATGGACTGTTCTCCTTGCTGCCCTCTGGGAAGACGCATCTTTCAATGCAGGTACAGCAGATTAAGGAACAGCTTCTTCCTCACCAACATCTGGACTGTTCTGAAAACTATTAATCATGTTACTGACTCCGCATCAGACTGATAACACTAATTCAAAACTCTGCATATTTGCACCATACAAATTTAATTCTCTGAACTTCCATATGTATTCCAATGCATTTTTTGTACAATGTTTTTTTTCTCCCAACACTGTTTACATTTGAACACTGCGGCACTTTAAGAAATGGAAATTTTATGAAAGCTGTACAAAACTAAATTTTGTAAGTTTTTGTACTTTGTATACAAAATAACAATAAAAGTTGGCTAGGTCTATGTCTAAGTCATATATAGCTAATGCGCTAGGTATCAAATATAAAAGCACATTAAATGCACATTAAATGCACATTAAACAGTAATTGCACATACAAATATGGCCTTAATAGTGTCATATTGTAGAGTCTAATGGCACTAGGGGTGAGTGATCTGTGGTAGCACTCCTTTTTACAAACAGGGTGTATAAGTCTTTCACTAAAGGAGCTGCTCAGCTCCTCTACAGTCTGGTGCAGGGGGGGAGAGGTGTTGTCCATGGTCGATGTAAGCTTTGACAACATCCTCCTCTCAGACTCTTCCAGTCCAGAGCGCAGCCTGGGATAGAAGTGGCCATTCTCACCAGTTCTTTCAGTCTCTTTCTGTCCCACTTGTGCTGCCAGGGGCCCAGACGACAGCGTAGAGGAGGGCCGATGCCACCACAGAGTCATATACCCCGTTTACACTACCCTTAAAAAACTGAGCCGAGACCGGTCCGAGCTCAGTAACTGAGATAACTTGTCGTGTGTGAACGGAAACAACCTGAACTGAACCGAGATAGACATAACCGGACCGCGCTAACTGCAGACCAGTTCCCGAGGTGGGTTCGGCTCGGTTTTTTCCTGGCTCGGTTCTCTGATAACAAGAGCGCATGAGCAGAACGCGTCATCGCCGACTGGCTGAACATGCCGATTCACACTCCATTCCAGAAAGTCGGCTTCCCAAAAGCCGACTTTCTCAAGTACATCCGCGCAAGGTTGCCGTCTTCGCCTGACCCACCGCAAACACGGAAGTACAGCAATAATAATCAAGCATAACTTTCTGAATGTGACGGGCGCCGCCATTTTGATTTGCTTGATTCCCTCCTCCTTCGTCTTCTTCTTCTTGGGTTTTACGGCGGTTGACAAACAGCGTTTGGTGCATTACCGCCACCAGCTGCTTGAGTCCCTCCTTCAATCCTAGCAGCAATACCGCACATCGTCACTAGGAGGCGAGGAGTCAAGGAGTCGAGATAACCGAGATAAGTGTGACGTGTGAACGGTCGTCAAAACTGAGCTTGGCCTGGTTACCGATCCAAGCTCGGACCGGTCTCGGCCTGGATCGGTTTTTCAAGGGTAGTGTAAATGGGGCTATAGAAGGTTTTGAGCAGGGGCCTGCTCACTCCAAAGGACCTCAACCTCCTCAGGAAGTGGAGGCAGTTCTGGCCCTTCTTATACAGGGTGTTGGAGTTATGAGTCCAGTCCAGCTTATCATTGACCTGAAAACCCAGGTATTTGAAACTCTCAAAAGTTTCTATGTCCTGCTCCTGAATGTTCCGGGGGAGTGATGGGGGAGTCTTCTCCTGAAGTCCAACACCATTCCATGGTCTTACTTGTGTTAAGGCACAGGTGGTTCTTCTCACACCAGTCCATAAACTTCATTGATACTCCAGATTGTTCCCCTTAGAAACAAAACCAAAATTGGTAGAGTCATTTGAAAATTTCTGGAGATGGCATCTGCCAGTATTGTAGGAGAAGTCCGAGATGTAGAGTGTGAAGAGGAATGGAGAGACAAAATGGTGACCTGGGGGGCCGGGGTGCTGCAGACAGCTGTGACTGACAGCTGTGCTGCTGCACCTACTGAGGGCGTTCAGTGAGGTAGTTGATGGTCCAGGCAGCAAGATGTCTGTCCACTCCAACGTCCTCCAGCTTCCCCATCAGCAGTGCTGGTCTGATGGTATTGAAAGCACTGGAAAAGTAAAAGAACATGACTCTCACTGTTGTACCGGTGGTCTCCAGGTGGGTGAGTGCCCGCTGCAGCATTGCATCCTCCACTCCGATGTCAGGTCGGTAAGCAAACTGCAGTGGATCCAGGGTGGGGTTCACCACGGTGCGTAGGTGAGCTAGGAAGAGGCGCTCCATGGTCTTCATCAGGTGGGAGGGTCAGGGCAACTGGTCTAAAGTGGACCGGTTCCTTGGCGTGCATCGTTTTGGGAACCGGTACCACACAGGAGGTCCTCCAGAAAGTGGAATACCTCCCAGAAGTGTCAGGTTTCCAGAGCTGGGTGGATTGGCTGTGTGTCTTTTCCCTTTTCTCTCAAAGGGTGGCAGGCTACTTGAGTCCAGCTGGATTCCATTACCTCAATCTGTGGTGGTCTTTAAGAAGGAGCAGTCTCCCTCAATCAGAGAAAGCTGGAGCAATTTAAGCGTTGAGTTTTCTCCCTCCTGTTGGTTCTTCTGTCTAAAACCTGATTGTACTTCTGTGCTTCAGGATCCACTTTGGAAAAGACTCTTGTCTAATCTCCTTCCCCCGAGGCTTCTGTCCTGCTCCTTCCTCAGGCTCACCAATATTGGCCTTCATATCCCCTGGCTCAAACCTGTCTAACCTCACCTCCAAACAACCTGAAAGACCAGTGCCTCCACTCTCAAACCCCAACATCTACTTCCAACCAGCAAAGACCAGGCTTCATGGACTCCTATTCACTGTAAGCTGACTTAAATTGCTTTAAACAACTTTCCATAATCCATCCATCCCCAATTAAACAACTGGCAGCTTTCTTTATTACGTATTTCTATCTACTTGATGCCCATGATTTTTGACATCCTTCAAATCACAACGAACGGCTGCTTATATTTGATTAATTGTTTTAAAAGTTGTATCATGTACATGTGGTGTCTCATTGGTAGAATTCAGAAAGAAGAACACTTGAAAACGATTCACACAATTTTGTCTTCCGGAGGGGGGAAACATTTACTGACAATTCAAAATACCTACAGCTGTCTTAAACACTTCATAAGTTCAGCGCAACATCATGAGTCAGTTTTTCCCCCAAAATTGCAGACCCATAAAAAAGCTGTATTTATACCCTAGCTCTAAGTGCTATTTCGAAATCTTGCTAGTGTGTGGCTCTGATTTCCTAAGTGTGTATGTGCGCAACTAAATGCTATGTCGAAATCTTAGTGTGTGTGTGTGTGCTGGCCAAAGTTGGGTCTGATACTTAAACAGGAAAGAGATTTTTCCTGTTTTTGCCAAGATCTCTTGGCTCAAAATCCTACATGAAGATCACCAGTTAAGATCTTGTTTTTTCCAAGATTTGTACGTGACCCCTGCTTTCCATTGTTTCTGTGTGCTAATGTTCAAACACCCTGACCACTGTATTCTCTGTTTGTGTTGCTAATTATGTATTAGGCTTTGAAATATGTTTACACAGTGTGAAAATTATATAGCACCACTAAAAATATTAAAACACACAAAGACCAAACTGTTTCAATGCTTCAAAAGATTTATTTTGCAATAGAAATAGATAAGGTTTATTAGAGCAAAAAGCAGTCTCTCTTTAAGACATTCAGTGGACTCTTTCGAAGCGGACCAGAGAGACAATCCACTCCCAGAATCTTGTGGCTTTTTTCAATCTTTGGCATTACAGCAGATGGGGTGAACATGAGTACAATTGATTAGACATCAAGGTTGGGATGTTTGTTTAATCCATAGTGCAGACAGATGGTAATCTTTTAAGGCAACTGTAATCTACTTCACATCTGCAAGCTGTAGGAAAAACAAGTAAAATTGGCAAAGGCAATACATTTTCACCATAATACGACCTGATTAAAGACAGAGAGAACTACATTGCTTTTAGCCAGCTAGACATACATTGTACATACTAAATGTTTGAATGTGTTAGCAATGCCTTACAATGCTACAGTACACGGACCAGAGAGACAATCCACTCCCAGAATCTTGTGGCTTTTTTTCAATCTTTGGCATTACAGGAGATGGGGTTAACATGAGTACAATTGATTAGACATCAAGGTTGGGATGTTTGTTTAATCCATAATGCAGACAGATGGTAATCTTTAAGGCAACTGTAATCTACTGAACATCTGCAAGCTGTAGGAAAAACAAGTAAAATTGGCGAAGACAATACATTTTCACCATAATACGACCCGATTAAAGACAGAGAGAACTACATTGCTTTTAGCCAGCTAGACATACATTGTACATACTAAATGTTTGACTGTGTTAGCAATGCTTTACAATGCTACAGTACACTACATTAAACTAAAAACATTACATTAGCATTACACTACATTATGTAGTGTACTTACAGTACACTACATTACCTAAATGGTTAATTGCAAGGCAGTTATAACTCCTGGTTCGTTTAGGCCTTGCTGGGTCCTTCTTCTTCTTCCTGCTCTTCTTGTCCTTCTTCTTCTTCTTCTTCTTCTTCTTCTTTTTCTTCTTGTCCTTCTTCTGCTTCTTCCTCTCCTCCATGATCTGCTTCTTCATCTTCTAAAAAGATTAAGTATTTAGGGGTAACTTATATTCAAGATCAGTTACTATAACTATAATAAGCTAAATAAACAAACCATCTAAAGCCCCTTCCTCCTCATCAAATTCATCTTCTAGATCTGGAAAACAAAAACACAGAGATTTACACTTTTATATTTTAGTACAAAGATTGATGTTTATAAAGGAATTGTAGGTGACCAGCCAAGTACCAGTCAAGGACCCATCTAGAGAAGTTGGGAAAATTTGAATGGCTGCTACTGTAGAAAGCAGGATGCTGCCTATAGCGTGGCACTTTTTTGTTGTTCTTTGGTTTTCACAAACATGACTGGCTGTGATGCTGACTTGGTTACTATTACTTTGGTGTAATAACTTATTATAATTTGTATATATCTTTTGAAATAATGTTTAAGATGAAAAGGTTGACAATTTCAATAATCACTCTATCAGGAATGGCGTACGATTCCCTTTCCCTGGGTTTTATTGATGACATCAGTATTTCCTTTTTATTTTACAGTTACATTTCTGAAGTCGTAGATTTCTAACAATGAAATATGGTGCGCTTTCACATTTTGCCTTGTTTACCCAACAAACTCTATGATCGACTGCACAATTTAAGTACACCTGTGGCAACACTGATTAGTTGAATTTAGTTTGAATAGGTAACATTAAGTAAACAAGGCATCCTTTTGTTGAAACCAAGTAATAGTGCCTGGACATAATGTACCTCAGTTGAATCAGAACTGTATCCAAATCTGGCTTCTCTGAGTGAGTTTATTATATTTTCCACATGCTAATCAAATTTCAATTTCTAAATCAATCAATAAATAAATTAATAACTAAATAAATTCAAATTTCACCTTCCACAGCAGTTTCCTCATTTTCAGGGTCTACTGTAGAACACACAAAGCTAGGTCTGTCTGTCTGTCTGTCTCTCTGCATGTCTGCTGTCTGTCTGCCTGCCTGCCTCCTTGTCTGTCTGTCTGTCTGCCTGTCTTTACATGATTTATATCACTGTGTGCTCACCTTTAGAAAAAAAAACTCACCTTCATGTTCATCCTCAGCCTCTGTGGAAGTTAAACAGATTCATTTTAGGCATATTTTACGTACTCAACTGTTCTATTTCATATTTTGAGTTGGAGACTGTAGAGACAAGTTCAAGTCTAATGAATAATTACTGGAGTTAGTTCACACAAGTATCTGTAGTTACTGGATTAGTAATGATTATTCAGGATAGGCTCACCTGCAGAAACTCCCTCCTCAGTTTCAGTTTCATTCTTGGCATCTATGGATCATAAATAATTATATTATAGGTGGATTTTGTTCACTAACCTCCTCCAACTGGTTGCTGCTCTGTTTTTTTCATAAAACAAAAGTTTTTAACTTTAGAAAAACAACTTATGGCTTAATCACAAATTAGCACAAAGCTGATATGGCACACCTTTGGAAACAGCCTCCTCAGTCCTAGTTTCATTTTTGGCATCTGTGGGGGATAAAAAAATATTTTATAGGTGGATTTTATTCACTAACCTACTCTAACTGATTGCAACGTTTGCCTTAATCCCAAATTAGCACAAAGTTGATATGGCTCACCTTTGGAAACAGCCTCCCTAGTCCCAGTTTCATTCTTGGCATCTGTGGAGGATAAATACTGTGTTATTGTAGAGTTACTTCTTAGAATCAGTTCTTCTATCTGGTTACAGCTAACCATTTGGTTTGTCTTAAGCACTCAAGAGAAACTACAGCTATTTAAATATGTTCCTCCTAACTGGTTTAAGTTGGTATATTTGGTTCATTTGACTCAATCACATTAGACACCTGAAACTTTAATGTGTCACAATATCAGCCATATTAAACTCATCTGAAATAGGAAATGTGCCACGGCTGAAAAGGTAGCACCTAAGGGCTCATATGCATAAAAAAACTTAAGACTACGCTCTTAATTAATTCACTTCAAAATGTCTTTAATTATATGTTTTCTCTTAGAAGATTTACCATGCAGAGAGTAAATTTATTCAGAGAGCAACCTTAAGGGAGCCCCTTAAGAGGAAAAAATGTTCGAATTAGTGAGGAAGATTTTTAGTAAGCATAAAACTGGATTAAGCAGAGAAGATGGTGGAAATAGAGCTGTCTGGCTGGACCGCCGCCGGTAAAATACAATTAGTTATATAAAGACAAAAATTTACTTTTTTATCTCCATAGTTCAAGATGTATTGTACAGTATCTGTAAAGTAGCTTGAGATAATATGTGTTGTGAATTGGTGCAATATAAATAAGCTGAATTGAATAAAAAAAATAAATAAATGGAAAAGTGTTGAATAATCATGAGAACAATCTATATAATACAAAAAAACATAATTTTGATAGTATTATATACAGTTTGAGCTATAGCTGAGTACAAAGATTGAAAATATCCTACAGTGTATTACTGCTCTAAGACAGACATTTCTGTCAAGTCTTCATTAAAATAACTCTATGCAACTATATGAATTACTCTTATGCTCTGGCACCTTGGCAGACATTTTTAGGCTAAGGCAGAATCTCCCCACAAAACAATCTTGGTGAACACTGACCATGCTGTCCTCTACCTCAATACATTAAAATACCTTTAGGATATTATTTAGTAGAAACAATATACCTTTAAATATAGCACACTATGCTGTAAAAATACCCAAGTATTGGGCTTACATTTATTAATTGCCAATACTGTATATTGTACTTACTAGAAGCAAGGCTGAGAGCCAGCAGGGCACAAAGAAAGAATATCAAAGTAAGCAGCTTCATGATGCAGGAGGAGAAAAAAATCACCTGCAAAACATAAACATAGGAATCAAAGAGAATAAATTATTTTGAATCCTTAACAGTTTTTACCCAACTTTGGAGCTGAACTACCTTCCCTCGTTCAACTAAGCTTCAGACTACAGCCTCAGCTTGTCTGTCTGGAAGTGGTGATCAACTCCAGAAGCAAACCTTTTATATTGTTTTTACCAGAAGCAGGATGAAGGTAAGCAAACACACGCATAAAACACACATATAAAATGACCTGTGTTCATTGCAGCTTTGGTATTATGCGGTTGTTATGCTTGTATCACATATCATGACTCTGCCTGCTCTTTCAGTTTGAAGTTATTTGTTTAGAAAGGAGGCTAATTAAACATCAGTATCCCTCTTAAGTTGTCCAACATCCCTTTTAGGTTTATTGTTCAGTAATTCTAAAATAAATATCAACCGTACCTGAAATGTACAATCTGAAGTTACTTAAAACTAGAAAACACAAATCATTGTTTAATATCCCAGTTGCACATTTTAGCCATTTACAAAAATAGTCACTACATAAATTAAAACCAAGGTTCACTTTAAAACACAGTTACATTTTAGCAAAGGATCTGTTGACAGTTTCCAATCATCAGACCCAAGAAAAAACTGCTTAAATGAGAAACAGTAAAAAAAAAAGAATTATAAGGATAAAGAATTATAAGAGTCTCTTGCTAAAGGCCTGCAACACATTTTATAGGACAGATAAAAGAAAACCACCCAGTGTTGACAGGGGAGCTGAAGGTGAATATAAAAGATTCCTTAAAAAGAGGACATGTGGTTAATTTAAAAAGAAATAGACAGTAGTGTCAAAAGTACACATATTTATTTCTTAAGTAGAAGTATAGATACTGCAGCTTAAAAACACTCTGCCAAAAGTTGAAGTATCAACTTGACCTCTTTACTTAAGTAAAAAGTATGTGCTCCAAAAACTACTTAAAGTATAAAAACATAAATTAACCATTATAAAAAAAAAACAGCCAGATGCCACTTTATGAATTGAAAGCTCAATTTTTCCACTATTTCGAAATATTTTTTGAGATAGGGCGAAGGATGAGGGAGGTCTTGTTGGTCTCCATCTCCCGATACGCTCTCGCCTGTGTCCGACCTTTCAGACATTTCAACATCATTTTCTGAATCCGACATTGTAGCATGGCATAGACAATTCACGTTTGCAGTTTGAAGAACACATGCTTGCTTCTGATGATTTCCTTTAGTTAACCAATGAGTGTTTGCGTTATATGACTCAACCAATGACATTAGTTTTCACTAGATTTGGATGGTGCCACTCATCTGCATTGGATGGCGCACATGACGTGAAATAAATATTTAGAAACATTAAACCGAAGTTAAGAGTAACAAGTAATGTTTGTTTTAAAAATGTAAGAAATATAAAGTACAGATACGTGTGTGAAAATGTAATGAGTAGATGTCAGAAGTATGAAGAAAAATAAGTAATAGAGTAAAGTATAGATACCAAAAAAGTGTATTTAAGTACAGTAACAAAGTATTTATACTTCATTACTTGACACCTCTGGAAATACAATATATAAAGAGTGCCTTTTTCAATAAGGTTGTACCATTAATTTTCTAAAAGGTTTCTTTCCCACTCTATTTAGCAAAACCATAAACCGTATCAATTTGTGGTTACGTTTGTACTATGTGTCTCTTTAAAAGGCATGTGTCAGTTCAAACATGAAACAAGATCAGGGAGTTGTCAGTGAGGACTTTATTTGATCTGCTAACATCCTTTATATTAGTTTAGTTTGAAGTAAATATAAATGTCAGGCTACTAGTAGAAGTATAAATACTAATGTTTAAAAACACTTTTGTAGAAGTTATAAGTACAACTTATAAGTATAAACTTAAGCTTTTTACTAAAGTAAAAGTATAACAGCACAATTTTTAACACTACTTGAAATACAAAATAAAAAGTAATGCGCAAAAAAAATGTTAAAGGTACAGTGGAGGATTTTCGCAAATTTTTTAAAAAACCCGCCCTCTCCATTAAAAAAAAAAGCACTTGCAGAACCCTATAGCCGCTGCCGAGACGGAATGTATATTAAATTCGTGTGAGAACATGCATCGCCCATTTTCTCCACTCCCCAGAAATAGGGTGTGCCGGAAATGCTGGTGTTTAGGGCATAGATCTTGCAATCCTGAGGTTCAGGGTTCAAGCCCCATTCCCAGAGACTGCCACTCTTGCTCTCTGAGCAAGACCTGTAATCTTACACTACTGCCTGGTCACCCCACGATGGCAGCCCACTGCTCCCCAAGGGGTTGGCTTAAATGCAGAGCTAAATTTCTCCAATATGAGATCAATAAAGTTCAATTATTATTAATATTATTTTTGTTTCCCCTCCTCCATGCTCTATTTAAAAGATGCTGTTTGAATCGCTCATACAAGCTGTTTCCACTATGCCAGACTCACCATAGGAAAGTGAAAATGGGGACAAGCACGTAAGACTTCCGTAAATAGACATATCACCAGAATGATCGACAATTAGGAGGACCACCTATTTTTAAAATCCACCCTGAAAAAAGAACATCCCCCACTATACCTTTAAGGACAAATGCTATACATGTAATGTAACTGCAGTACCCTATTGGAGGAACTTTTTTCTTCAATTCTGTACGATAACTTTCTTATACCTAATTTTCTTAGTTTTATAACTAATGACAGCGTTGTTTAACTTTGCATCGCCTTGAAAAACAATTGATATTGGTATGTGGTGACCAACAAGTTGGAGAAGTAATGAGTCCAACTATATAGGAATTAGATGTCTGGATGAAACAAATTATTTTGATGAATTTTTTTTTTTTTATATCAACAGGCCATAACGAAGGTAAACTTAAATGAAAAAAAAAAACAACTAATAAGTCTATTTTTTTAAATGTAAGAAGTAGAAAGTAGAGCCCGCCAAAATGTCTACTTATGTAATGAAGTATTTGTACTTTGTTACTTGACACCTCTGCCCACAAGTAATGGAGGAACTAACTGTGAACCATGGAGAATTCAAGCTGACAAATAACATTAATTAGGGCTACACAGGTGATTAAAAGAAGAGATGGAAAACAGCTGGGAAAGAATGTGCACTGAGTAAAGCAGGAAACACAGAAAACAATAGAGCATACAGCCTAACATACTGTATGCAGGTAGCCTAAAATTAACAATCACATAGATACATAAACAATTAAAACAAAAAATAAATAAAAACTATGCTGATGAAGATTTTCAGTCATCCAGGTCATAGTCATTCCGTAAAAGTTTAAAAAACAATGCACTGGACTTGGTTTCCAAGTGTTAGGGTTAGACATTTCACTTCCCCTCCAGGAAGCTTTCTCAATTCAAATGTCTGGATCCGCAGTGAGTTTGAGTCTTTATATAGACAAGGCCTTGTATTACTTGGAAACATGCAAATTGAAACCGACGAGCGGTTCGTTTGGTTCCATTGTTAGCCTGTAATATCTGAAACCTGTCTATGATTCTGAAGGTCGGTCGTTATAGGAGGTATTTTTCACCTGGCTGAAGAGAGGAGGTACTTTGTTCCTCTGTGATGGGGTGTGGGGGGGTGGGGGGGTGATACCAGGAAGGGATCATCTCTATAACTGAAATTGTAAGTTTTTGGAAGCTGGAATCTGAGTCCACCACCTCTGTTTAAGGTTGGTTTTTCTTTAACATAGATGGGTTCCTTCACGCCCCTCTCAAACCACCTATTTTCTTTGTAACAATACCTCCTTAACGACCGACCCTTAACAATCATAGACAGGTTTCAGGTATTACAGGAGACAATCCCCCCCTTAATGGCAATCCCCCTTTAACGACCGACCCCTAGAATCATAGACAGGTTCAGATATTACAGGCTAACGATGGAACTAAACGACCCATTCATTGGTTACCATTTGCATGTTTCCAAGCAATACAAGGCCTTGTCCATATAAGACTCAAACTCACTGCGGATCCAGACATTTGAATTGAGAAAGCTTCCTGGAGAGGTGGCGAAACGTCTTCGAATCTTGAAAACCAAGTCCAGTGGATATTTTTTGAATTTTTACGGAATGACTATGACCTGGATGACTGAGAACCTTCATCAGCATATTTATCCAGCATGTGAACATTCTGGTCCTCAAAAGAATGTCCTTTGTCCACAAGGTGTAGATGTACTGCAGAGTCTTTTCCAGAAGAGGCTGCTCTTCTGTATTGGGCCATGCGTCTGTGGAGAGGTTGTTTGGTTTCTCCAATATAAAGATCAAAGCAATCATAAGGGATTGTGATGTTTTTGCTTTTAATTTTCTAACAGCTGTCTTCTGCTGAGTGAATTTTGAATTTCCTTGTTGATTTGATAAACTCCCAGTTTTGGTATCCACAGTTTGGGAGAGAATCTTTGATGTGTTTCTGTTCTTTGTGCTCCCCTTCTGTTTTAGTAGGGACATTTTCTGCCCGGTGTTGTAAGGTTCTGATGACTGAGAGTTTGTGTTCCAGTGGGGGGTGTGAGTCAAAAAGAAGATACTGGTCCGTGCGAGTAGGTTTCCTATACACTTCAATGTCTAGGCTTCCATCTCCTTCCATGCTTACCAAACAGTCCAGAAAGGGTAGATTGTTGTCCTCGGCATCCTCTCTGGTGAATTTGATGTTATGGTCAACAGGGTTGATGTGCCTTGTGAAAGCTTCCACTTCCTTTAGCTGGATTTTGACGAATGTGTCATTCACATATCTAAACCAGTGGCTTGGTGGTGTTCCATTGAAAGTGTCTAAAGCTCTCTTTCCATTTCTTCCATATAAAGATTGGCTACAATTGGTGATACTGGAGATCCCATTGCACAACCATGCTTCTGTCTGTAAAAATTATCTCTGAATTTGAAATAAGTTGTGTAAAGACAAAGGCCCAGTAGTGTGCAGATCTGGTCAGGAGTGAAATTAGTCTTGTTGTTTAAGTCACTATCTTGTTGAAGACTTGTCCTGACTGTTTCCACTGCCTCTGTTATAGGTATGTATGCATGTGAAAAGTGAAGTAACATCAAACAACACCAGAGTTTCTCCTGGTGCCATCCTTAAATGTTTGACTTTGTTAGCAAAGTCTTTGGAGTTTTCTATGTGATGTGGTGGGTTTACCCC